ATGTTTTAAAGTGGAAAAACTATTTTCTGCCTTTGTCTCCCCATCCCTTACGCCCTGTATGTCATGAGGAATGAGGTTTATGTTAATTTTAACTTCCTCTATTTTCCCTGCTAAAGACATATTACATTCTGTAATGGCTGCCAGGACTTGTGAGTTTACTTGTTCCAGGGTAGGCTTATAAAGGTTTCTCTGCTGTCCACCCCCTTCTTCCCAACTCCCACAGGATTTTCTGACTCCTGAAGTTGTTTGTGTGTCATTATTGGTGTGTGGGGGGCTCCAGATGCCAACGGTTGTCAAGTGCTATGGCTGCTCATGGCTGGGTACAAGAGGGGCTTAGGCAATTGGGTGGTATGATAGTGTGGCTGGACAACCTTTTAGCCTACAGGGTGGCTCATGATTGTAAGGCTCTCAGTGGGATCTCAGCTCAACATCTGTCCATGCCAGCGGTAGCCCTGTCCCTAATTTCTAAATTGTTTTAAAGGCCATAAACGGATTTTTATCAGTACACTGTTTTTAATAGTTCTTTGCAATATAATAAGTTCACATGATTTAGTATTATTTTTATTTCTTTTATTCATCAGTTTTATTTATTATACCCCATAAACAAAATGGGTTAACAAAGTTCTAATTTTTTTTAGATGTAGCCTAGAACCAGCCAATACTATACATTTTTTCTGGTCTTGCACTGTTATTACTGTTATTGGTAACAAGCTTGCTCTCTCTTAGTTTCCAAACTAGACTGTAACATACCTTTGATTTCGGGGTATGCCTGTTAGCAATGATAAGCAATCATGTACAGAGGATGCACTTCAGGTCTTACTTTGTCTGCTATTATTTTACGCTACAAAAGTAATTCTCTTATGCTGGAATGATTTGTTGGCACCAGATGAACAAACATAACAAACATATGTACGCTGGGCATGCCTAGCTAAATTTAACAAAGTATAAAACCCATTAGAGTATCCTTGAGTAATGTTTTTGATTAGGTATATTAAGTGTATGTTACATTATTGGGTTCTCTAACCTTGTTATGAACAGGAATGAAATTCAGGGACAGGAAAAGTGTACACAGAAGTGTCAATATAATGGTAAATGTCTTACTTATTTTTGTTTGGTGATTTGCATTCTTATCCACAGTAAAATGACATAAAATGGATCTCTAATAAGGCAGCAAGTAATACAAAGATAGTTTTGCACCATCTATGCCATTGCTTTCTGTTTTATATAACATATAGGTATTTATTCATATAAGTTAATTTAGAGACGAACTTCATGAAGAAATTATTCTCTCTAACTTGTTTCCTTCACATAATCCGCTCAAAGCCACACAAAAATTGATTAAAGCTGGCATCTCTTGGTACCTTAAAGACGTGAAGAGATGCTTTAGCTATTAGTTAATGCTGTGCAAATGAAAGTATTTAATTTGCTGCACTAGTAGGACAAACATATCCTAGAGATGTTGGGATTCTGGAATTAATACATTTGTTTCCTTTATCTGCTGAAACAGAAGACATATACTGGCAACTAACACGGACTCATATACTGACAACTAATAAATCAGGTTGTTGGGTTTGCAGGGAGTAGATTTGCATATTGAGGACTGGTCCAGATCTCAACAGATACAAAATATTTATTACTACAATATATCTGCATACACTTAAAATATGGCCATTAAAATGTATATGGACTTTTTTTGATGAATTTGTAGTCAAAATCCACCAATGAGCGAATCCCTCCCATATTCCAGGACTCCCTCTTGTAGCTCCTCATGCATTTGTTCCTTTTTTATTAACACCTACCTATTTTAGGCATAATTTGATTTTGATTTAAAACCCTCCTGGGTATTTACAGACTATTTCATAAAAAATGCCTGGATCTGGGTTGGTACCTAAAATCCTGAATAATCATACCGCCAGGGAGGTTAAGTATGAAAAAACTGGAATTTAAATTGACAACAGTTATGCAAATTTTAAATGGTAAGATTTTTTAGCTAGAAAATATTTTTGGATACAAAATTTGAGCATTTGAAGCTACGCCTGACAATTATCACTGTGTTATTAAAGTGCAACTGAAGTAAAACATTTTTTTTTTTTAGTTTTGGATAGAGTGAAGAGGGATTACAACACGTCAAGGCTTGTTTTTTTTTTTTATGTGTCCCAATTTCTGTCCGATTGTTGGTTATCTTCAGAACAGGAATAGATAGGAAATCTTCCAATGGGTACATTAGTTCTGATGTCCATGCTGGCCACCAGGCATTTCCTCTGTTTAGAGGGATTTTCTTTCCCTTCCTGTTGTAGCTATCGGACAGAAATTGAAAGGGAGATCTACCAAATAGGACACAGATGGCAAGAAAAAAGATGACAGGGTATAACCCTCCTTAACTCTATCCAAAACAAAAAAAAAAGCTCCACAAAAATGATGTTAAAATGCACAGTGTAGACATATATGCAGAATGTTCTCCAACTAAGCAGTAATCTCTATGGTTTACACTAACAATATGTATAAGTAGTACATATCAATATAACATACCTCAGCTGGAAGCAGTGTGTAGGAATAGAATTGCTTCATCTTTGTAACAAGATCATCATTGGAAAAGGTCACATATTCTACAAATTTCCTGTTCAAGAGAAACCAGTCAGAGCCACCATCTACAGTGATGCCTTCTGGAATCTTTCTATCTCCGAGACGCCACATGTGTGTGTCACATTCTAGGAACAACCTGTCCAGGCCCTGTTTTCTGATGAACCTGTAAAGAGATGGATTGGTTGATTACAAACACATATTGGTCAGTAACATTCTAAATTAGCAAAAAAAAACCTGTACACATATGTTAGCATATCTCAAAAATGTCATCTGGGTTGATGATGGCCTGAACTTCCCTGACATAGGCTACATACCAGATCAATGTTAATGGTTGGAGTAAGGTACTGGGTTTACTAACGTTTCTAATGTGTAAAACAGGAAGATCCTCTAAGTGCTACTTATCCATTATTGTTACTGAAACGCAAGGCAGAAGTAAGTGGAAGATTGCACAGTCTGCACCATCAATCTAGGGCAGCACAGTGGCCAAACAGGGAACAAGTGTAGCTTTGGCAATGCTGCTTGGTATGGGGCTAAATGTTACCATTAACTGGATTTTATTACAATCAACTAACAGACATGCATGAAGTTTATATTACCAAGCTACATACATGCCATTGTAGCTTGACTGCTTCACTATGATAGCCAATGGCTGCTGTAGTTAAGCTACCCTCTGTAGAAAATGTTAGGTTTATTCACCATTTAGAACAAGTCATTAGGAGCAGATATGATAATCATGTATAAATACATACATACATAAATAAATACATAAATGGCACATATAGTAAATTCACAAAAGACATATGGACATTCCTTGGCTGAAGGAAAAAATATGTAATGTTCACATATAGAAAGATCCACATATATGAAAGGTCTGTTAAAATACATAATGTTCTTCCATAGGGACTGGTTATAGCTACAAATATGTACAGTATGTAGAATGTTGGCCCAGGGAGTTATTTGATTGTCTATGGGTAGCAGAAAACAATGTTTTATCCTTATTGGTGTTAACTAGAACACACTTTATCCAGTGTTTTTGCCTTTCTCTGTGGATTTGGGGTTCTGAGGCTACAGATAGACTAAAGAGCATGTGTCTTTTTTTGCAACTTTGTAAGCATTTGCAACCATTCATAATTAACCATGTTGCGATAAACCATGTTGCGATAAAACAAAGCCAACACACATTTCTGATAATCCCCATCAATATTTTTAACAAAATGAGAAAACATTGCTATTATATGCAGCAAAGGTAGAGACTAGGTAGAAACTGGCAATCCTGTTGGTAGGAATGTAAGTTCAGAAATGTTAGCAATACATACTTTGATGACACCAGCTCATACCAAGGTTAAGTGAATGTCTTGATTTCTCTGCTATAGTCCTTAGCATATACAGTATATGATGTTACAAAATACCAGTTTCCGGTGGCTTTAACCAGTTGATTACTAGTCTGTAATATTCCTTCTTTACCAGGCCATTTTTCAGATTTCAGTGCTGTGAATGTTTGACTTTGTGTCCAATTACACTGTACTCAAATTAATTTTTTAATATTTGGTTTTTAGACACATGAAGCTTTCTTTTGATTGTATTTAATAACCACTGAGGTTTTTAATTCTCATTATATAAAGGAAAAACATATGTTTCCCTTAATTTCTCTCAAAATAAAAATGCCAGGACAGTGTGAACATCTCCAAAATGAACCCTTTTTAAAAAAAATAAGGAAACATGCTGGTATTGAGGGGGATAAAACATAGAATTTGGTAATGCTTCATTGAATACCATACATACATGCCATATACAGTGGGGGGTGGAGACAAGGGAAGTGCTGTGCAGGATAAGGGAGGCAAATTGTTAATATACAAGTCATTGAAGAGGTAGTATGGACACCACATGTGCAGGAGAAGAGGGAGGTGGTGGTGAAAGGGCTAAAATGTATTCTACTGTGTGGAACTAATTAATGACTCATTCAGTAATTCCTCCTTCCTCCATTGAGAGAGAAAGGGGATGGCTCACAGATGTAAACATTACATCTGTGATCTCTGTAATTAGTCTCTCTATAACAAACCACAGCAATCCCAAGTTACAGATGGGCTCTGTATATTGTATCTGTGAACCAAGATGACCGAGGATGACTTGGATTACCGGAATTAACAAGCGCACTGGTCATCTGATGGTTGTTTCTGAATTGCCATTTATAAAAGGGCAGTGCAGAATTAAGTGTTCACCACTTCGCCATTCCAAAACATACCTTGGTGAGCAGGTGGTTAATAGTGAACTTCATTCAAACAGAAAAGGTATGCTTTGAAAACAAAACAATCTGCTTTCTCTGATTTTCATTCTTTTTTCATTGGTTTCTCTAATTGCTATATCCCTATCTATCTATACAGTATATCCATATGTATCTATTGTACATACCTATAGTTGTAAGCCCTCCAACATGCTTGTAAATGCAGCACATTATGTTAAGAGCAGGGGAACTACAGTTCACTTCAAATTTATTCGTTCAACTTTTAAGATTGATGAATATAAATACTGTATAACATCTTTCACCTCTTAAAACCTAATAGAATGCACATAACTTTAGATGTTTGTTTCAGTACCCCAACTCTTTCATTTCAAACCTTTTTCAAAATGTCCTGTCTTGTGCACTTCTTTTACTGCTAAACATCACTATGACCAGCAGTCTTTCTTGCCAATAGGAAACAAAGAAGGGGGAAGGTCACATTATCAGGAAATATCATAACTGGCATTGAAGAATGGTGCAGGTTGTAGGGGTCCAAGGGTGCTGGAGAAGGCATCTGAAGGTATGTGCAGACACCTTTGAATGCCTGCATTATGCTATTATAGTCAGTAGAATAGGCAAATTGTATACTTTTGAGACTATGCATTCACATGCTTCGTTTATGACACAAAACATAGCTATTGCATTATAAATGTATATTATTTAGCATAAAGTTTACCTTGCCTACACAATATATACATAAATTTCTACATGCGATCCTCTTCTCTGAGAAATAAACACTGCACATTACTACTATTATCACAAAGCAAGGAAGAGATAAACAAAAACTACGTAACATTCTTATTTAGAAATAAAATAATGTATCAGTGACGGGAAAATAACACACCTGCAGCAAAACGTTACCATAATTGTTACCCAAGAAATGTTACTGGCACCAAAGCAAAATACAATTTTAGTCTAAAATAGGAGAGCCTATAAGTCACAGTTCCTCATGAAGAGAATTAGAGGACCACGGCAGCTTTTAATACCACCACCAGACTTTCAGGCAATAATGGATAATTTTAGAGTAGAAGCTTTGTAATTACAATTATGTAATAATAGATACTTATCTATGAGCGCCTGGAAAAGTAAAATTACTTATAATTTCTGTTTGCATTTTTCCCTTTTCTGTTTAAAATAACAGCTTTGAATTTACAGCACACTGCAGATAAGAGTGGCTCAGTGTAGTTCAAATCGCTCACCTCCCTATCTACTGAGCCGACCTGTGACAGTCTCATTGTCACAGGTCGGCTAGAACTCTGAGGTGAGTGAAAATCACTCACCTCACAGTTCTCCTTTAACATAAGAATTCCTAACATAATTAACTAAGAAACTAAGATAGCAAAAGAATGTACAAAGGGGATTATTTAAAAAAACTGAAGCAAAAAACAAATGCAGCAAAGACTAAAGCCTTAAAATAAAACTAAAGTTTCACAACAGAAGAACTTCTGTCAAATCAGGAACAAAAGTGGTGACAAATACAATATATATTAATTCAACAGAAAGGTGTCAGGGAGCTTGGTTCAGCAGACTCAGGCTAATAGGTAATCATGTGTGCACAGCTAAATAAATATACTAAAATGGAATAAAGGGGCCGCCATTCACACCCTTCGTGATCTACCAGCATCAACTTTGAGAGCTACTGGTAGATCACGATCTACCTAATGGGCACCCCTGGCTTAGTATATTCAGAGTACAGGTATTCTGCAAGCACAAAGCACAGGTTCACCTTAATGGATAATAATAAATAAATAGTGAATAAAGGCACCCCCAAGGCATTTAAATATATTACAAAGAATAAATCCTACAGCACACCCCAAGCGGTAAAAACCCAGCCAAGTAAAAATTAACCAGCAACCACAATGAACCAAATCAATCCTCCACTATTCTGAACAAAGAAAAAAAGTAGTTTCAGTCAGTGCTTGCTGAGAGCATCAATTACTCTTTTACAGTTGCATCCACCTATAACTGAGTAATCCAGCACAATTTACGTAATACACTTCATTAGGAAAAGGGCTTGAAAATTACTGTAAAAAGTGTAATAAAAAGCCAATATGGTATTAGCCAGTGCTTGCTACGATCATCCATTGCTTTAGTATAATTACATCCACTAACTATTGCCAGCAGCAGTAAGTAAAGTACTCCACTTAATCAACATGAACCCAGAAAGATTTCAATAAGACAAACATAAATGGATAGTAAACTTTTAACAAGTTTGTATTATCTAATTACACTCGCATCTACTCAGTGGGTGTGAGTAGATACAAACTTGTGTGTAAAGTATACTTCCCTTTTTGTGCTGGTCATCACAAGGGTAGCCCCAGAAGGAATGCTCACACTATTCGAAGGGGGGATGCCGCATAACAGTGTTACAAGCTGCATAAATATTATGGGCCTAACTACATGGGTAAGTGAGAGGGGCTGTGCATGATGATGTTAACACTATACGTGCCTATATCTGGGACTTCGTTAGGATGCATCCATCAATGCCCACCTTTCCTTTTATGTGGTTCTGTAATACTTCCCATTGTGGCTATTTTGGGATAAGACATATTTAAGCAGTAAAATAAAACACATGTGTTCACGGTCTGGGGACTGGAGAACTAGGGTACGTGAGCTCTGGGCTTTGCGGAGCAGGTTGTAGTCATGGTGAGGAGGGATATCTGGGATGTTGGTCACAGAGAGAGAGGCGCAGAATCTAAGAAGCGCCAGGTATTCGACAGAGCCTCCAATGGTGAGGATGATTGGCTGCTGGACACCTTCCAGGTTGCAGCCCTCTTGCCCACCCACACAGACGCAAAGGACTAGTTGAAGCACCGGGGAACTGGATACAAGAAAAGGTAGGGAACTTGAAACCAAGAGGAGCAAGATGGGAACAGAGGCACACA